TGACAGATATTTCCCCTAAAAAATTTCTTGCATGTTTTAATGCCCTCTTGGGACCCGCTTCTCAGAAGACCTGGGCGAACACCACTACTGCCACTCATTAGAAGGTTAAGGAAGTTAGCCGTGGCTCTGCTGTCCCGGGGGATTCACTTACTATGTCTGTTTGAATTTGTATAGACCCACATCATGTCCTCTCTTAGATCTATCTTCCATCGCAGAGAATTTTAAGGCATTTTTACTTAGTTTCCTGACAAAATCTGCTTCCTATTTGCTTATTTCAGATGCTCTTTGCTACTGGGCAGCATCCCAGTTCTTGGTCTTTCTCAATCAGAAGCAGAAGTAGGCTTCAGGCCCATGTGTACAGTGATTTCCTGCCAGGCAAGACTTCATTTTCTGGATCATCACAGTTAGAAGGGCATACTTGAGCACGACTCATCTTTCTTTGGAGTGTTTCAGACAAACTTGACCTTCAGCTGGATGTCATTAATTTTTACACAGGGCTATGGGACATTAGGCCTTACACAGGTGCTAAAAGAACTAGCAGGGAAAAATCAGGGACAAAGGCTTAAAAGTTTACATTCCTCTGTTTGTATGACTTGCTAAAGAGTTAGATGCCTCACTCTATCCATTCCTAGCTCTATAGCGCTATCCTGCCCTCTTTGAATTTGTGACATAGTTTTCATAAAAACTTGATTGTGAAAGTTAACTGCGTGCTTGAATTTATTGATTGGCTCATATGCCCATCTGTAGGCCATATGCGTGTAGTCTTATCTTGTTGCTTTTTAAATCTTGGTCACAGTTTCATTACACTGAATTCCAGGTAGATCCACAAATGTTGCATATAAAAGCAAACAGAAGAGCTATGTTATGGTTTCTTAATAGTTTTTAGTGTAAAAACATGACACAATTTCTAGTTTTTATTGCACAAGGCATGCCCTCTCTTTGACATGTGAACCTCATAGAATGAATGGAATAGAATGAATCTAATTTATTTGAACGTTCATGTGTTAATGTGGCACTTGGGGAAAAACAACGTCAGCATCCTCTACCAACTGGAATGATCTGCCTCCTGATTCTGTATTTAGGGAAAACTTTTTGGCTTACATTTCACCACGTATGGTGCAAATTATAGTAGCTTCCTCTTGGGGTTATGAAGAATAAATGAAGTGATCCATATAAAATACTCAATAGAATGCTAGATATTACCATCAGTATGATCATGACCACCATCAAAATCATCACCATCACCATTATCTCCGTCATCACCATCACCATCATCACCATCATCATCACCATCATCATCATCATCATCATCATCATCATCATCATCACCATCATCATCATCACCATCAAAACAACAGAGTTGCAAACCTTCCCTTCTGTTAGAACTGCTAAAATGCTGAAATCCACAAAGTGAAACGCAGAAACCAGCTGTTTTGCCCTCTTGGTACAATAGTTGTTTTTTTTTTTAACTTAAGCTGAATCTGGTTCTCAGAATAAATTAGAATGAATGGAAAAAATGTTTCAAATGGCATCACTAAGGGTCATGAGTGCTGATAAGCAATAATGTGAGTGGAAAAAAAGAAAAGGAAGAAAAACATAGCCTCCAGGTCCCAAGGTCACGAGTAGTAGAAGTTAGGCAATTTCCCAGGGGCAGACCATGTCACCACGTCAATGTCAGAGGGCAAATAAGTGGCCAAGTGTACGGGCAGCCAGACTCTGGGGGTTTCTGCAGACAGTGTCCTAACAGGTACATCCTCTGACTTGTTGGGATTTTCTGGTGTAATTCTATTTACATCTGGAGACTGGGGCTTCCATTTGAAAACATTTCTCACAAGATATCAACAGTACTAGGGATGCTAAGTAAAGAAGGGGTCTTGCCCATGCAAATTCAGATGTATGGACACCCATAGGTTATTTCAAAGAGTGTGTTTTGGTTTTCAAGTGTGTGTGTGTGTGTGTGTGTGTGTGTGTGTGTGTGTGTGTGTAAAGAGCAAATAACTTCATAGATTTCTGTTGTAATTACACTGAGGTCAGAAAATCGGGTCTTGGGGCAACTGAGTGGCTCAGTCGATTGAGCATCCGACTTCAGCTCAGGTCATGATCTCACGGTTCATGGGTTTAAGCCCCACGTCGGGCTCTGTGCTGACAGCTCAGAGCCTGGAGCCTGCTTCGGATTCTGTGTCTCCCTGTTTCTCGCCCTCCCCTGTTCATGCTCTGTCTCTCAAAATTAAATAAACATTTAAAAAAGAAAAAGAAAAGAAAATTGGGTCTCCGTGATAAAATATGGAATTTGCTGAGGCTTCCTTTGTCGTCTAGTGAATGGTCACATTTTAATAAATATATCACATGTGCTTGGAAACAATTTGTTTTCCAGGTTCACTGTTTCTCACAGATCACATTAATTAATCATTGTATTCAAATCCTCTCTCTCTATATATATATATCTACTCAATTTATCATTTTCTGATAGAGGTATTCCAAATCTCCCATTATGATTTTGGATTTTTCCTCATTACTTATCATTTTTTGTGCTAGATATCATAAAGCCGTTTTGTTAGTTGCTTATGGATTAATATTATATCATCTTGGTGGTATCTTCCCTTTTTATTAATTTTTGATTTTATATGTTTCCACAACTTTTTTGGTTGCTAGCATATCTTATTGTATCCTGTCCCTTTACTTCAGCCTATCTGTGCATTTGTCTTAGGCACGCCTTTGAAAATCTGTGTACCTAGATTAAAACAACCACATCAGAACATGCAGTACTTCCAATTTGAGAGTGTTTTTTAAAACTAAGTAGTTGAATTTGTTTACATTTATTGTGATCACCAACATATTTGTCCTTCATTCTTTCACCTTATTTTGTGCTTATTTCCCATGTTTGTTCTTTGCTTCGCATAGTCTCTTTTTCTTACCTTCTATTGAATTGGTTGTTTTCCTTTTTTTTTTTTTTAATATTTTTATTTATTTTTGGGAGAGAGAGAGAGAGAGACAGCGTGAGCAGGGGGGGGTCAGAGAGAGAGGGAGTCACAGACTGAAACAGAATCCAGGCTCCGAGCTGGCAGTCAGCACAGAGCCCGACGCGGGGCTCAAACCCACGAACCGCGAGATCATGACCTGAGCGAAAGTCGGACGTTTAACCGACTAAGCCACCCAGGCGCCCCGAATTGGTTGTTTTCCTAATTCCCTTCCTTCCACCGGACCAGTTGGGACAATATATATTCTATTAAAGAGATAACCTTAAAATTTTAAAGTAAATACTGGATGAATCCTAATTTCCATCAATATCTATATCTTTCTTATGAAATGGAACACTGTTAACTTTATATCCTGATCTCTCCCCAATTATCTTTTTCTTCTTTGACAAATATTATATTTCTACTTTGTTTTGCAATTCCCCTGAGGTTAGTTGTTGTTGAATGGGGAGAGAGGTATTTTACCTAATATTCCTGTGTATTCAGAGCAGAACAGAGGCTTCCCATATACATTTTGTATAGCATATGGATGGGAGTTCCTGATTTCAGTAGTCTGACAAATCAGTGAGCTTCACTGGGTTCCCATGTTTGGTTACATCTGGGAGAGAACATCTTGAAAAGGAGCTCCCTCATTTTGCCTAGGACTCTAGGAACTGAATCGTGACAACGATGTATATTATGATATTCAGTAAAGGAAGGAATCACTGTGGTCTGAAGAGTCCAGAGCAAACATGGGTTCATCCTAGAAGAATGGGCAGAGAAGTTCCTTAAGAACAAGAGTGATGTGATCAAGATGGAATTTTCCCAAGATCAATGAGCAGCAGTTTACTACCAGGTCCCTGAAGGAAGCGTTATTCTTTACAGAGAAGGTGCTGTTTTATGAGAGCCCAAAGGGGTTGGGGAGGGGCTGCCTCGGTTGGTGGCAGGAGTCAGGGAAGGAAGAGCTGAGTGGGAGGGGTTAGAAGCAAGAGTTACAGGAGGTGGAGGCGGGGGCTAGTTGCACAGAGAGGAGGGAAGGGGGGCCAGCGCTGACTGTAAGCATTCCAACGGTGGGGCAGAGAAACTACCTTTGTTGGGCCTTTCGTGCGAACTTTAGGATTTCCATCTAGGTGGGAGTTTGTGAAGCCACTGCACTGTAAGGTGTGTGATGTGCAGAGATGATGGGCCTGTGGTGGCACTGGCAGCAGATAGTGCTGGAAGGCCTCAATTGTGACGCCAGGCTTTGGTCACCCTGAGCTGTCCTGGCTGAGAATGTACTCATGTGGGGAAGGCAGATAGATCACTACTGGGAAAGCCACAGGTCCCAAGCCCAGCTTGAGCTGACTTTCAGTGTCAGGGCCAAGGCTGGGTGGCTCCGAGAGGCTGGGCCTGGCTGAGGGAGGCCAGCCTCCAGGGGAGCAAATAAAGAAATCCAAGATGTTAAAGATGGTTATGTCAGGGGGCAGGATTTCAGGTGTCTCTCCCCTTTTCTTTGTTACATTTTTTCTTTCCTGTACTGTTTTAACTATTTGCAATGAGTATCTGTAATTTGTGTGTTCAGGAAAAAAAATTCATTTTCCTCCTGGGGACGAGCTACTCTTTCCAAGCCCTGCCTGTTGTGCTCTGGGTCTTAAACCAGTCTAATCCCAAGAACCTGTCCGCACTCAACAGTCCAATTTTATGGACGAGAACTAAGGGTCAGAGACTGGCTTGCGCAAGGCCAGTGGAGGCAGAACGAGGTGTCACAGGTCCCCACTGCTGGCTCTTGGAGGCCCTCAGGGCAACAGGGCAGTCCTGAGCACTTACACCTGGGGACCCGGCTCACCTGGGCGGCTCCCGCTCACCTGGGCGGCTCAGGGCTGCTGGGGCGGGGCTGAGCTGACGTCCGCCCCGCCTGCGCTCAAGCCCCGCCCCCGCACGCCTGTCCAGGGCCCAGACCGCGCCCCGAATGCCCCGCCCCGCCCATCGCCTAGGCCCCGCCCCCGGCCGCGCCCCGCAGACCTCAGGCCCCGCCTCCTGCCGCTGGAGGAAACGGAAGTGGCGGCGGGCTCGGGCGGAAGCAGGAAGCGGCGGAGCGAGAAGACGCGCGGGGCGGTGTTCTCTGCGGGGCCATGGCGGAGAAGTTCGACCACCTGGAGGAGCACCTGGAGAAGTTCGTGGAGAACATCCGGCAGCTCGGCATCATCGTCAGCGACTTCCAGCCCAGCAGCCAGGCCGGGCTCAACCAGAAGCTGTGAGTGGGGCGGCCCGAGTCCGCGGGCGTCTGCGGGGCTGCCGGGGGCGCCGGGGGGCCGGGGAACCGGGCCGGGGGGGCCCGGGGAGCCGGGCCGGGGAGCTGGGGCCTGGCCGAGAGGCGCCTCTCTCCGGCCTCCTCTGGGCCCGGGCCCGGCTCCAGGCTGTGCGCCGGGGCGGGCTCGCCGCCGCCTGTTGCCGGCCCGCCTCCCTCCCGCTCTGCTTTGCTGCGACCTGTTCTTGTGGGCCCATTTGGAGATGTTACCATGGCCGGACTGTGCAGTGTCTGGGCCTGATAATCTAAGGCTGTCCTCGCGCACGTGGGTCTCCTACCTTTTCTCCTGGACTCTCCTGGGGAGTTCTGTCCCCGTCCCCAGAGGAGAGGTGGACTTCTTGGGGGGTGCGCCAAGCTGCGCCCCGGGAAGGAGAGGGATCTGAAACCACCTGCTGCGGAGGCCTGAGTGTGGAGGAGTTGGAAGGGGGAGGTGGTGAGGAAGGTTGCAGGCCGTTTATTAACTTTTTTGGCAACAGTCCTGTGCTGGCCTTGGTGTTAGGCCCTGGGATGAACAAGAGGCAAATAAACGAACAGAATGTTCTGGGGAAGGGCTCATAGCTTTATAGGGGGTCCAGACATCAAACATAATTGCAAACCAGCGTTACAAACCCAGTGCTGGGGGACTAGCCTGGTGATATCTGAAGGCCCCAGAGGGAGACTGAGATTGAGCCAGGAAGGGGTGGTTTTCTTACCCCCAGGCTTGGAGGATGGGTTCTTAAGGAGGAGTCCACTGTCCCATGTGTTCTCTGAAATTGCACACAAAACCAGGTGCACATCAGGGTAGTTGTTTCCGAGAGAAGATTGATAGTTTTCATCAGATTCTCAAAAGGGTTGGTTTCTGTCCCCCAGTATTGACTGTTTCTACTTTAGAAAGAAAGTAAGGGGCGCCTGGGTGGCTCAGTCGTTAAGCGTCTGCCTTCAGCTCAGGTCATGATCTCTCTGTTCATGAGTTTGAGCCCGGCATCGTGCTCTATGCTATCTACCCCTCCCCCGCTTGCACTCCTCCCCCCCCCGCCCCCCCGTCTCTCCCTCAAAAATAAATAAATGGAAAAAGGGAGAAAATCAGGTATCTGAGGGTATCCTCCAACCCCAGAGCTTTCTTAGGAATTCTGTAGCTAAACAAAGAGCCATGCACCTTGCTCGGGTGAGTATTCCTGCTGTCGTGTGAGTTAACCACATGGCCCATTTTTGCCTCTCCCCCAGGAATTTTATCGTTACTGGCTTACAGGACATTGACAAGTGCAGGCAGCAGCTTCATGATATTACTGTGCCTTTAGAAGTTTTTGAGTAAGTATCATTCTTGATTTCCATTCGAGTACATTTCTTGTTTAACTGTGCTAGAATGACTCCTTCAGCCACTGGCATTTGGGTGCCTGCCCTGCGGCAGCACAGCCCAGGTGCTGGAGGTGCTGGGGAGAAGCCAGTGAAGAAAACAGACAAAAGTTCATGCTTTCAGGGAAACCGTGTTTTGATGGGATTAGAAATTAAAAAAAAAAAAAATCTGTATATTGTTGAAAATGAGTTACATGTGAATGAACATTTATTAAATATGTGCAAAGCACCATAGGCTCTTAGAAGCCCTGCTCAAAAAGAAGTCTGTATCACTTTTTTTCTTGAGAGATAAAAAGTCCTACTTGGGCCTTATTATAAAAGAACAAAGACAAACTATAGGCAGCAACAGCCTGAGAAGTAACTTGGTTCGGTGTCTTCCGGGCTGCCCAGGGAGCGCTGATTCTAGGAGACGGTAAATATCTGCTCTGTTGGGGGGAAACAAAGGTTCTCAGAGCAAGTAAGATTGGGAAGCTGTGGTGTTTGCGGGGGAGCCCTGCGTGCCTGTCACGGTCGTGGCCCGGAGAGCACCTCCCGGAAGTAAACTCTCGAGGTTAGTTTCATTCAGGTTTGGTCACACTGGCTTTACAGGTCACAGAACTGGTAAGTAACTGCGCTAGGCTGTTTGGCTGCTAAGTGTCTGCGTTAAGAGGAAAATTCTGGACTTGTCCTTCCTGGGCCGCAGCCGATGTCTCCATGCCAGGCAGCCTGTCTCTGGAGGTGGAGCCAGCGTGGAAGGGCAAGAGCATGCTAGCCTTTGGGCATCAACGCTGGAGCCTAAATCACTAGGTTTCCTTGAACAGTTAGGGAAACGTTTCTGTCATGACGTCGCCGAAGGTCAGAGATACAGGGCCTAGTGGCGGCACAGCCCAGCAGCCGCCCCCCCGGGGCACACAGGCTGCACCCCTGCCCGTCACGGCTCCGTCCTCCTTGCTGCCCCTGGCGTCACGCGTTCGCAGTGTGTTCTGTCAGCCCTTCGAGTTCTGCGCGTGCGGGCGGGAGCCAGGGTCTCGTGTGTGGGTCAGGGCCCCCGGCTCCGGGGCAGCAGCTGCCTGCCCGTGAAGTGGAGGGACGCGGAGGCTGTTTTGCTTTCCTCGGAGTGTCCTCATTCGTGCTGTTCTGGTCACGCGTGTGTGGGACGGATGTCAGGGCAGATGCCAGGGCACTGCCCCCGCCTTCCGGGATGGGGAGGGATGGCGCTCGGACGGGCAGCAGGCGGTGAAGCCTGGGCAGCCACAGCCAGTGGGCAGAGGGGCTGAACCTTCATCCGGGGTACTGGGGCCGCGCCGGCTGTTGAGCTCTAGTAAGTAGCAGATGCGAGCTGCCCGTCGACGTGCCCGGCGCGGGAGGGGTTTGTGGGGTCTCGGGGTCCTTTTCAGCACGCGCTCCCAGACAGACACACTGGCTGGCAGAGGAGACTAGCCTGTGCCCCTCTCTCCGGGACTGGGGGTGGCTGTGTCCGCAGAAACGAGCCTCGTCTGGACGCTGTTGCTGCCGAGATAGTTCCTTGTTCAGCACGCGCAAGCCTGTCCTGTGTTTTTCTTCAGAAATGGGTGTGTTTTGTTTAGGACTAACTGTAGCTCTGCTTCGCTCATTCCGTCGTTTCAGAAACCCTGCAGGAAGATGGAATTTCTAAAGTGTGTGATGTATTGGTTTTTTGTTACCTGTCCTAATTAAAGACCAGGTTTTATGCCATTAACAGGAACTGAATAGCGTTTTTTTTTTTTTATCTGAAGTGATGATTTTGTTGTTGTTCTTGGACCATAAACTGGACTTTGTGGTGGTGATTTCTTTTCCTTTGTACCGAGGAGCTCGGTGTAGCTGAACGGGGTGAAGGTCTGTAAGGTACAGAGGCGGGCCCACGGCTGCTAGACGTGGCCGTTCACGTGGCCAGTGTGCTCGGGGAAGTCTGCGGGGTACTGAGGACATTTTGGGGGCAAGTGTCAGAAATTTCAAAACCAGTTCAGTAGTTGAGAAATAATTGGAGAGACTCTGTGTTAGATTCGTGTTCCTTGGGTGTATTGAGGGAAGGAGGGTATCGGGGCCCCCGCCCCCCGAAGGTGGTAGGAGAGTTTGTGCTTAATTCCAGGTGGGTAGGGCCGGGGCTGGCCGTCCACAGCTCCCCGCCCACTCTGGCAGCCCCCAGGCTCCTCTACGCAGGGACTCCCCAGGGACCGATGGTGCGCCTCTGTAGTGCGGGCTGCGTCCGTCTTGGCGGGTGCCCCCCGTTCGCTCCCCCAGACTGAAACCCCAGCTCACCTCCGTCCTGCCTCATCGAGAGCTGCCTGGCCTCACGGGCTGTCGTCAGGATCCCGGGCACTGCAGCAGAGCGACGCTGAGGATGCGAAGCTCGCTCGGGGTGTAGGTGGTCATTGCTTGATTTCGTGAGTTAGTCGCGCTGTTAGAGGTGACGTAGACAGGTCGTATGTACTTGCATAAAGGAAGGAGTCCCGGGCGCCGTTGCGTCTCAACAAGGCCGTGAACACTTTCCCTCCGTCCGAAAACTGAGGGCAGGTGTCAGCCAGGAGCATGTTAATGGAGGTGTTTGCTGTTTGCAGATACATAGACCAAGGACGAAACCCCCAGCTCTACACCAAAGAGTGTCTGGAGAGGGCCCTGGCCAGGAACGAACAAGTGAAGGGCAAGATCGACACCATGAAGGTAAGGCGCTGTGAGCGCAGACGGGGGTCAGAACGGAAGGAAGTACAGAGCGGGTTCGTTTCCGTATGAAGAGCACGTTACCGCGTGTCGCGCGGCTGCACAGCCGAGATCTCTGCGTGTGACGGGCGGTAAATGGTGCTGAGCACCGGGGGGCCCGCGGGGCGGTCGGGACGCAGCAGGTGGTGCCTGCCTTTTAGGAGAGTCCTGGTTGATTCCCGTGACGGATCGTGTTGCCGGCCGCCATTGGCCTGTGTAAGACGTAGTGTCGCGGTTTGTACCTCGCTGCTTCTTGATGTCGTCGTGTGGCCATTTCCTGCGGTGGTGGTTCCGCGGCTTAGAGGGTCCCGGGGTCTCTAGTCGTGCTCCTTGCTCAGCACTGGTCTCCGGCACCTGCCCTTTCGTGCCGCGGCCGCTGGCCTCCTGCGCCACAGAGCGCTGCCCGTGCGCTCCGTGCTCTGACGAGAACTAGAAAACTCCATGCTTCTTGGGCATGAAATACACAGGGATTTTTCTTTTTTCTTTTTTCTTTTTTTAACTTCCATTGACTGAGCCGAGGTTCAGATGGGGGGAGTGCGTGGTTCCCCCTTTCCCGGGCTGTGCGGTGCCCTCACCGCCCACGTGTGCCAGCTCCTGCCTCTCCACTCAGTTCTCACCCCCGCCTGGCCGCCCGGCCTGGTGTCCCGCAGTGGCCTCCAGCGGTCCCCCTCCTTCCTGTCCCCTCTCCCGCTGCCGCCTCTGGAGCTCTGGCCTGCCCCCTGCACCTGCCATCCCCGGGGCCCGGCCTGCGTCCCCTCTTCAGGCCTCGCAGATCAGCCTTTCCCCGAGGAGGACGCCCCCCTTCTCTGACATCTCATCTACGGCAGCGTGCGCTGCAGAACCTACCCTGCGCCCACTGCGTGCCAGGCTGCTGTCCAGTGTGCGCGGGACGACCACGCGGTGACCTCGGGGCTCAGGGCTCCGCGGCAGGGCGCAGGGAGGAGCCAAGAGGCCCTGCCCTGATGGCAGTGATGCGTCTGTCACCTGCCGCCCTGGGTCACCGGCTTCCTGAGGTGTCCCCGCAGGTGTCTGTCCTGCCGCCCTGGGTCACCGGCTTCCTCAGGTCCCCGCAGGTGTCTGTCCTGGGGCTGGGCAGCCTGCCCTGCGCGGCGGTGCTGCGATGGCCCGTGCGGAGCCTGCAGCTGCTTCCTGTTCCGTCAGGTCGGGGGGTGAGTTGCGCTTGGGCTCAGCGTCGCCCCCAGGACATGTGGCCAGACGGCCGGTACCGTTGTGAGTACGCTAGGCTCCCGCTGCCGCCTGACTGTGGGCAGTGACGCGCGCATCTGTGTCCATGTTCTGAGGCCCGTGCAGGTCTCGTGGCGCAGTTCCGTGGCCTCTTTTACCCAGCGGACCGTGCGTTTAAACCTCCCCAAGCGACAGCTCAGACGGGTGTTTTGATGTTGCGGTGCAGTGTCCTTGAGCACCCGCGGTACGGCTGTTCCCGTCCTCAGTGCTTGCCTCCAGTGATGCGCGGGGGAAGGTTTCCAGGCTGGCGGGCACCTCGCCGCCTGTCAGGTGGCTCTCGAGCCGGGGTCGGCGGGCAGGGGGGGGGGGGGGGGGGGGGGGGGCAAGAAGCCGCGGCAGCCAGGCTTCCCGGAGCTCTGAGAGCTTTGATCAAGCCGTCCGCGCACAGTGAGTTTGATGTGGTTTGAATTACTAATTGCTCAGTTCACGCTACGTGAGGGTTCCCGTCACGCGTGTTGTGTGCAGAAATCCTCCCCCCCAGTGTGGCTGGCGCCGTGCGGGAGGGCGTTTCCTAGCTGAAGTACTTATTCTGTGCTCATGGAGTCCTCTCTCCCACGGTGTGTCTCCTGCCTCTGATGCGGTTCTGGCTCGCGGGCATTGCTTGGAGCCGGCTCACGAGCAGGTGGTGTGGACGGCCGCTTACGTGAATGGGAGGCACAGCTTCCGTTCCTTTGAGTTTGAGGCTTGGGGGTGGGGGTGGGGAGGGAGTAGTCCGTAATCTGGGCGATGGGTCGCCAGCAAAGATATTTTGATACTGTATGTTTTTCTTCTTAGAAATTTAAAAGCCTGTTGATTCAAGAACTTTCTAAAGTATTCCCTGAAGACATGGCTAAGTATCGAAGCATCCGAGGGGAGGACCACCCCCCTTCCTAATTTCTGAAGACCCTCCTGGTCTCGTGGGAGTCGCTGTGACCGTCAGACAGGCTGGGACTGAGCGCCGCACCAGCGCGGCCTTCCCAGGCCCGTCTTCTGGCAACCCTGTCCTCGCCCTTGTCCTGGGGGACAGCGCGGCCCAGACGCGTGTGGAGCTGTGTCCCCGGCCGCCCCTCTGTCCCCCATGTGCGTCTGTTCGGCCCCCGAGCTTTCACACGGCCGGGGATTGCACGTCTTTGAGTGCGATGCATTGATGGTCCACAGCGGAGCAGTTCGGGAATATTCGCTATGATAGGTAAATTGTTTTTAAAAATTCCACCTAATGGTTTTCTTTTTATGTACTGTTTCTTTTTTCCATTTTATGATGGTGTCAAAGCTTAAAAAAAAGAAAGATTCAAAAAGAAAAGTTGGTGTTTATTTGAGCAATAATTTGAGTTGGTTTTGTGTTTTCTATTTTCAGTTACAGTGCATAAAGAATGCGTTCAGTGTAACGTTACATGGATTTTGATTAGACATAAGCACATAATAAAGCCTTTAAGTATTTACATGATGTATTCCGTGCAGTTATTTTTATAACATTTTATAGCGTAGCACAGTGTACCTTGTAAACAGTCAACTCTTACTTCCCCAGAGTGTGAGTGATATTCATACAATTGTTCCCCGGGCTTCCGGGACAGAAGAGGCGAAGCAGAATTCTGGGGGGCGCCTGGGGGGCTCAGTCGGTTCAGCGTCTGACTCTTGTTTTCGGCGCAGGTCATGATCTCAGTGTCGGTGAGATCGAGCCCTGTGTGGAACTCTGTGCTGACCATGTGGGGCGTGCTTGGGACTCTCTCTCCCTCTCCCCCTGCCCGTCCCCTGTTCGTCTGTGTGCTCACTTTCTCTTTCTCAAAATAAACGTTAAAACCCTACAGAGCAGGATTCTGAGCTCCTGCACTGGTTTCCTGGATCGCAGACCGCAGGACAGCAGCGAGCTGGCCCCAGGGCTGCGCAGCCCCAGCGTGTACTCGGTCGGACGTGCGGCCGGGGGCCTCGCTCCTGGTAAACTCGGCTTGGGCCTGCGGCCCTGAGTGGGGAGCCCTGGAGCAGGAAGGGCCGCCTGAGTACAGGGACCTGCCCTCCCCCCCCCCCCCCCCCCCCCGAACAGCCCCTGCGCCCTGGGGGTGTTCTGTGGCTGCCCTAACAGAGGGTGGAGATTTAGCTTCTGGTCCCAGAGACTGGAAGTCAGGGGGTCCAGCAGGAAGGGGTCCTTTCTGCCTCCGGCGGGTTCCGGTGGCTCCTGGTGTTCCTGAGGCAGCGCTGCCCCAACCTCTGCCTGTGTTCACGTGGCCTTGTCTCCATGTGTCTCCCCGTCTCTCCCTGTGGCGTCTCCCCATCTCTCCCTGTGGCGTCTCCCCATCTCTCCCCGTGGCGTCTCACCGTCTCTCCCCGTGGCGTCTCACCGTCTCTCCCCGTGGCGTCTCCTTCTCTCTCCCGGTGGGGTTTGCTGCGGGAATTAGCTCCCACCTGCACAACCCAGGATGGTCTTATTTCCAGAATCTTCATAAGGTGACATTCACAGGGTCCAAGGGGACATACCTTTCTGGGGGCCACCACGCACCCACCACGTGCCCTGTGTGTCAGGTCCGGCTGTCAGGCGCCTAGCTTTGCTGCTGGGGCGCTGCCCTGTCCTCACCCCCAGATCGCTCCACCGTGCTGCCATGTGACTGCCTGAGCCCCTCTTCCCCGGGGACCCCGGCCACAAGTTGAGTTTGAAGCTGTGGGCAGGTGGAGGCCGTGAGGCTGTGTGTTCAGGTGACAGAACCGATACTTCTCCCATAAGACCCGTTTCTACTTTTTGAAAGAAAGCATTAAGTTACGCAAAAACGGAAGACACCGGTGTTTGGATTGTGGTGACAGTGCCGGTTCTGGTGCCAGAAAGTCCCGGTCCCTGCGGGTGGCCTAGGTCCACAGACACAGGCAGAGAGGCGCAGAGAGACACAGACACAGGCAGAGAGGCACACAGAGACACAGAGACATAGGCAGAGAGACACACAGAGGCAGAGAGGCACACTGAGACAGAGACACAGGCAGAGAGGCACACAGAGATCCATCCACACAGACATATCCACACAGGTGTGGACAGACAGACACAGGGACGCGTACACACGGACAGATGCCAGTAACACTTGCGTCACTGCAGGTGTGCTGAGGCCGGGAGTGGGGGCAGGAAGGCAGTGTGGGGAAAGGCAGTGACTGGCGCCCAGCTGCAGCTCAGGGGGGCCCAGGGACCCTGGGAAGGGAGGTTCAGGACGGGCGTGGCGGCCTCCAAGGCAGCAGCGGTGCTGGAGAGGCCTGGTCACATCCCCGAGGGGAACAGAAGCAAGAAGTGACCAGAGCCGCACATCGTCATTGGGGTGCTAAGCCTGCCTGCCTTCTCCCGAGCGGGGGACGCGCCCTCTCTGGGGCCACGTGACACACAAGGTCCCGCCAGTCCTTTATGTGAGCACGGGCTCCAGAAGCAGACACGAAAATGGCTTCTGTGTTCTGGGCAAGTGCTCTGCAAACACAGATGCGATGCAGATGCGACGCACACCTCACTTTAATTGTGAAACACACCGGGGGGCGCCTGGGCGGCTCAGTCGGTTAAGCGTCTGACTTGATTTCAGCTCAGGTCATGATCTTGGGTTTGTGAGGTCAAGACTTGCATTGGGCTCTGCTCTGACAGTGCAGAGCCTGCTTGGGATGCTCTCTCTCCCTCTCTGCCCCTCCCCTGCTTGCAGTCTCTCTGTCTCTCTCAAATAAATAGATTGAAAAATAAACCACGTTGGAAGTACGGGCAGAGGACAGCTCTGAGTCACGGGCCATCGTCACGGGCCTGACCGCCAGCTTTACTTCTGTCTGCGGACCTGGGGATTGTGTCCTGCGTCGCCGCCTGCATGGGAACTGTGTGGGTCACAAGCAGACTAAATAGTGGGACAGCTCATCCCCAAGCTGGTCTGTCTCCTGGTGCTCAGGAGGCAGGCGGGCGTTACCACTGGGCCCACGTGGTCGCAGCCTTCAGTCTCAGCCGGGCAGGAACCAGCCTGGGGTTGGGGGGGGCAGGCGGGCGGGCGGCCTGGGACGTGTGGCTGGAAAAGGGGGCCGGTGGCCAGCGCTGTCCTTCCGGTCTTTGCGCTGGGACGGTTTGTTTACACCATGTGGACTCAAGAGCTGAACTTGAGCTTGAAAATGACTCCTCCAGGGGCGCCTGGGTGGCTCAGTCTGTTGAGCCAGACTTTGGCTCAGGTCAGGATCTCACGGTTCGTGGGTTCGAGCCCCGTGTCAGGCTCTCTGGTGACCAACAGCTCAGAGCCTGGAGCCTGCCTCAGAGTCTATCCCCCTCTCTCTGCCCCTCCCCTGCTCATGCTTTGTCTCTCCAAAGTAAATAAATTGTCAAAAAAATTTAAAAGAAGAAATGAGTCCTCCAAAGAAGGCGAAGTCTGGTTTGGGGTCTGAGATGAAACTCTAGGAGGCACCCTGGGAACCCTTCGCCCCCAGGGGGTCTGTGCAGGGAGGCCCCAGCAGGAGAGGTGGGGGGGACAGAGGGCGGGGCAGGGCCATGGCTCACACGGAGGAGTGGGGGGACGCAGTGGGGACCTGCCCGCTGGCCTGTGCAAGCTTGGGACGCCTTCCATTGGCAGGAACTGCAAACACCTCGCACACCGGGAACCCCCTGGCTGGCAGGTGCCACTCCCGCTGCTGGTGTGGAGGGGAGCCGGCTCAGATGGTTGTTGGTGGGGGGTGTGGGCAGGGCTGCGGGTGCTGGTGGTGATCAGTGGTCCCCGTCCAGAAGGCACCAGGTGTCCTTGCTCTGGAAGAGCCACACAGGGAGCCGGGACCTCAAGGAGCCCCATCTGGGGTTGTCCCAGGCCCGGATCTGTAACTCGGTGTAGTTGGTGGCCTCTAAGTCATAGAGGTAGCCCAAATAATAATCGGGTGATTCCCGTCCGTGTAAGGATAGACGTGCACATACGTGTGTGTCTGCCTGCATTTCTACACTGTATGATGCATCGTGAGCACCGCGTGCATACACACCTATGCATATATGTACATACACACTTCCATACAGGCCCCCCGCCCTCCACATTCTCAGGTCCTGACCACCAGTGTGAGTACTTAGCGATGGGGCGCATGTGGATGTTAAGTATGGTTAAGCGAAGTCATAGTGTGAGATCCTAATCAGATGGGATCGACGGCATCAGAGGAAGGACACTGGAGGGCTTGGAAAGCCCATGTGGGGACCCAGGGGACAGGCCGCCGGGTACAACCCGCCAGAGCCCACCGGGACCTGACCTCGCCGCAGCCCTGCTGCCCACCTCCAGCCTCCAGAGCCACGGGGAGTGCATGCCTGTGGCTTAAGCCAGTATCTGGGGCGCTTTGTTTTTAAAATTTTTTTTTACTGTTTATTCATTTTTGAGACACAGAGAGAGCATGAGCAGGGGAGGGTCAGAAAGAGAGGGGGACTCAGAATCTGAAGCAGCTCCAGGCTCTGAGCTGTCAGCACGGAGCCCGACACGGGGCTCGAACCCACGAACCGTGAGATCATGACCTGAGCCGAAGTCAGACGCTTAACCGACTGAGCCCCCCAGGCGCCCCTGGGGTGCTTTGTGAGCAGCGGCCACGCTGACTGACACACTGTGCACTCCATGCCTGGGACACCACAATTCATCCGTCAACAGACGACCCACCAGTCATGACCCTCAGTGAAGAGCCACGCACTTCATTTCTCTGTTAAATTTTACCCAGTCTGATTGTCAGTCTTGGCTCCCAGATCAAGTGTCTGGTTTATTTTGCCCATCATGCCCAGCTCGTCGTTACAGTGGGGTGCTTCGCACTGGCTGGAGGAGGGGGAGGGAGGAGGGGGAGGGGAAGGGGAGGAGGAGGAGAAGGAAGGGAAGGGGAGGGGGAGGGGGGAGGAGGGGGAAGGAAGGGGCAGGAGGAGGAAAGAGAGTCAGGGAGTTACAGAATCCGAGGCAAGCTCCAGGCTCTGAGCTAGCTGTCAGCACAGANGGAAGAGGGGGAAAGGAGAGGGGGAGGAGGGGGAGGGGAAGGGAAGGGGAGGAGGGGAAGGGAAGGGGAGGAGGGGAAGGGAAGGGGCGGGAGGAAGAGGGGGGAAGGGGAGGGGGGAAGGGAGGAGGGGGAGGGGAAGGGGTGGGGAAGGGGGAGGGGGGAGGAAGAGGGGGAAGGGGAGGGGGGAGGAGGAAGAGGAGGGTGGTCCCGTGGGCTCTACTCAGGCAACAACAGCTTGGAGAATCCACGACTCAGGTCCTTTGTTAACCTCTTGGAAATTTTCCAGCCTAGACCCGCAGTCCGGGGCAGAAGGGGGACAGACTGGCTGCTGCCCGGAGGTGGCGCACACCAGCGGGGGGCACAGAGCTGCCTTCGTTGCCGTTTTAGGGGGCACCGTGAGGGTAATGAGGCTGGGGAGCTCCTCTCCGCGGCTGAGCGCACACAGGCTGAGGAAACAGGGATGTGCTGCTGGGATATTTATTCCTGGCTTTATTTATAGCCTCGTCTGGTGCAGGCTCAGAA